ATATAACGCGTGTCTTCTTATCTACTCTGGAAAAAGGAAGAAAATGAAAGAAAAAAAAAAAAATAAAAAAAGAAAAAGACAAAGAAGAATAAAGGAGGAAATCCATGTCAGTGTCTATCTTACGTAGAAACGAGGAGTTTGGCTATCGATCGCCACCCTCCGCTCGTCTTTTCCCATTTTTCCTCTTCTACTTCTTCTTCTTCTTCTTCCTTACAAGCCACGCGGACCAGCGACAACACGCAGCGTGCGATGTTCGTTTCTTGCTGCGGACCTTCGACCCCTCCTTACCTCGATATTTCGAGGGAATATTACTTTTGGGTGTGAGTCGCTCGTAGGAATGCGTTCCTTGGAAGGATGGTGGAAATTGATGGAGTTTTGTGTTAGGTTATGGAGTGTAGATTCTTTCAAGGATGAAGGATTTAATCGTGAATTAAGACGAAGAAATGGTTTTGAGGTTAGGAAATAGTGTAAGTTGAATTCAATTCTTCAAGCCAGTTTAAAACTGAAATTTTCAACATCTTTCAGCAATCTTCTGATAATAGAATTTAAATTTTTTAAATCTTTTGGATATCTAGATAGAAAAAGATCTTTGAGAGAAATAAAATGGGTTTCATTCTTCTTTCAAATGGGTTTAGGCATTTTAAATTGGAACATATGAGATCGAATTTTAAGGCTTTTGTATTTTCTTCTTAACAATTCATGGATCAATTTTAAAACATTCGAAGAGACTCGAAGAATTTTTCTCCCGTTTTTGGTATCTCGATTCGACAGTTCGGGGATACTACGAATCTTCCTTTGGGAAGATTTAGAATGGAATTTCCACGGAATCGAGGCGGGCCGATGCGCCACTATTTTTAGCGCTTCGAAAAATCAGTTCCATTGTTTTTTCGCGGGTTTATTGACGCGGAAAGCGGCGGTGGCTAGGGCAGGAAGCTCCGCGGGGAATTGGAACGTGGCAAGAATCAATTTTACCCGGCCTTCTTCCTCGAGTTTCGCGCAATTTGCCGATCGTCCCGCGGGACGTCCCTTGTTAGGCACCATCGCCTCCTGTCGCAGTGTAAATTTTACCCTCGACGATCGAACAATGACAGTTCCCTTCGAAATTTACCATAAATCTCTCCTCTTCCCGTAACGATATAGAACGTGTTCGAATTTTCCATCAATTTCTACCACGGCGAGAATTTTTTCGACTGAAGTGTCCAAAGTTGCTATTCATCGTCCATCGTTTTATTAATATTATCCGTTTTACAATTTCAATGAATTTTTATAAAATCTTTTGCTTGTCCATGAAAAGCTGTACAAATATCTTCTAATTCCACCGTTTAACCTCTTTGATCACATTGCACATATGTTTAGTTTCTTTAAATAAATTAAAATTAAAAAAAGTAAAAGTACAGAGAAAGAAAAAAAATTAAAAACTCGAAACACTCGACAATATTCCATTTTACTCGACAATCACTACTTTGAAACTATTATGTATATATAACAATGTCTTTCGATGCTTATAATGTCCCTCGAAGAGGTTAAATTTCTCGTAACTTCATTCACATCAAACTAAGTTGAAGATAGGTTAAATGCTCTTCACTAAAATCTATAGGAAAACTATATAACTCAATCGTGCGTAAAACCGAGCATCTCTCGAGATATAAGAAAAAAAAAAAATCTTTCCTTTCGATCGAATCGAATCAAACGATAAAAGTATACCAATCGAACTGCACGATCGAAACGAAGGATAGAAAGGGAGAGGAATAGCGATCCACGAAGCAAGAGAGCGGGATTGGAGGGAGGGACGCGTCGCGGGAGAGGGCAGAGCGACAGAGCAAGGGGAGGGGTGTGGAGCTTTCGGTGGGTGGGGAGAGGGGAAGTTGCGTCGGTTCGAGGGCAAATCTAGTAAGCTAGGACAGAGGCTATTAATAACTGTTTGGGGTGCCGTACCTGGCCGCCGCGCGGTGCCTTCGGCGCGCGTCTAGATACGCGCGTCTCGACGACCGGCGTCTCAGTGTCGTCGCGACGACCGACGTCGTACCCGTCGTTCCGGCGTCGACGTGCTCCTTCTTGCACGGTTGATTCGCGATCAAGCAGCGTAATTCACCGACCATTCTTCGTTCCGACGCGTCTTCGTTCTCTCGCCATCGCCATTTTCGGCCATTTTCTGCCTCGTTGAAATAATTATTGTTAAGAATAAGCAGAAAACGCGTGTATAATAAATTTTCTAGTCGTATATACGTGGTATAAAATCGTTGTATAAAATCGATCGTTGGATCGAAAGGTTCGATATCGATAGTGGATCGAGAAGGGTACAGTGGATTGGCAGGCGACCAGAGTGGATCAGTGTCGTTCGAGCGATCGACTCGGTGAAACGATCGACCATCACGGTGGGAGGAGAAACGCGTCTCGGTGATCGAATGCAGACTGATTGGCTCCTTGGAGGAGGATCAGCTGATCGTGTGCTAGCTGGAATATAACGTGTCGATCGTTTTAGTTGTTACGAGGTGGGATCGTTCGTTCTCGAGGTGGTTGGCAACGTTTATTTTATCAAGATTTTTTTTCCAGTAAGTATTTGGGAGATTGGACGAGCGTCGGTGGCTTTCGAAACACTTTTGGATTTTAATGGAAAAGGATATTTTTTGGTATGTTATTTTCGAAATTTTTTTCGTTTAGATTCGATCGTGGCTTATTTTATATGGACAGAGTCGGAACGATAGTGCAATCGCGTAGTGACGTAATTGATAGTACAATCTCGAAATCGATTCTTTAAATGTGATTTTGGATATAATTAGGTTAGGTGTTAGGATTATATCGATTGTTTAATCGATTTTCTTTTCGTTTTCTTCTTTTTGAACGGATGGTTCCTTTTTTTTCTCTTTTTTTTAGTCCTTTTTGTTCTCTCTTTTTTATTTTCTTTTTACCGACGTTGACGTGGCCAGAGATCGCAGAATAAACGTATTCTACGTCGACTCGTCGCGATAAACAAGCGCAACCGCGCAGAATCCGCGTCGATTTATTACCGACAACTACGCACCAAAACTCGTCTTGCAAATAGAAGTTTCCCGCGACACGTGCACTCGGCAGAGCTCTCTAACTTTCGAAACTCGTTGTATAAAAACCCAGAATTTAAATAGAAAAAAAACATTTGTCCAAACTCGATAATAAACTCGATAAAATGATTTAAAAAACATATAATAATTTATCGAAATCCAGTTTCAAATCAATTTCAAATTTCTCTTCGGTAAGATAAAAATTCTCGATCTTTCAAAATTAACGATCCACCATTTTAACACAATTTTAAATTCTTCTCTTCTTGTTTTAATTAATCAGTATCTCGACGAATCATTTTACGAATTTTGAAATAAAATTTCTTTAAATCGATGTTTCCAAGGATTGATTTCGAAGCAATTGTTTCGACACTTAAATCTCGTTTCTCGTGGAGAAGGATCGTTCGGTTCATCAACCCTTGAGAAACCCGGGCGGATCGCGCGTCGACCTCCCCTTCGTCCTTGCCCTCCCCTGGTCTTTTCCGCGATGACGACGCGTTCAGGCGTCACTGTGCGCCTCCTTAATGCCTTTGATTTTCGTTCGTCGCCGAAAATAACGGAGTGTCGTATAGATAGACGCGAGAGAGCGCGGCCAGCCGAGATTCGGTGACAAAGCGGGCGAGCGAAAAAATCTCCATCCGTAGATTTTCTTCGAGCGTTTGGTGCGAAAAGTCGTCCGTCGAGGATTCGATATGAATAAAAAAATATTTATAAAAGACAAATTCTTTTTTCACGAATTGATTTATCTGTATCGATAACACGTCGAAAGCATAAGCACTTTTCCGTGCAAAAATGATAAAGAAAAATTTATAAAAATTAAAATAAATTCTAAACGTTGATTAAAATATTTCCAGAATTCGATATTCCAATAACGTCGATCAGATTTTTTTAAAATTTCAGAATAAAGTTTATTCGACCGCTTTTCGAGCCTACGGTTAATTAATTACTTGATTACACGACGCTTCGAATAATAAATTATCCATCGTACTCTTTTATTCTTAACTCGGTCCGACCCGACTCGATTAAAATTTTGGCCACGATCGAATTTCTCATTCGAAACAGCCACCTTCGATCGCTTCGTCGAGGCCGTAGCTCGAAATCATTTCCCAGCCACCGACACAAAATCGTGGTCCGTTTTCCCTCGGCAGAGACCCATCCTCGAGGATCGAAGATTCACCGGGTAGACCCACCGGAGTCTCCCCCCCT